TCCTGAACCCGGACACGAACTCGGATGGGAGGTGGCTGGGCTGGGCCCTGGGGCAGGGGGTGTGAAAAGGGTGGAGTCAGGGGGCAGGAGTGCCGCCTTGCAGCCCACACTGCAGGGGGCCCCCCCGCCAAAGCACCCTGCACCAGTCTCACCCACCGAGGGCTGGCCTGCAGCCAGGGGCTCCCGGCCAGGCACAGAGCCCTTGGGGCTGGCAGGGTTTCCCGGGGGCTGTGCAGTCGAACTGGCCTCAGGGCAGCGCTCGCTGGGGGGCAAATGGATCAGATGGCTCTGCTGGGTCCGAGGCTTGGTGGGACGCTCACTGCTGGCCATGCATGGGAGCTGGGGTGGGCGGCTGCCCCTCTTGCGGCCGAAAGTTGCCGGGGGCAAGTCGTCCTCTAGCCAGTCCCCAGCCAGGCACTCCTCCTCGGCAAGCAGGGCTGCCCGGGGCACAGGGGTCTCGCCTAGCGTCCGTGGCAGGCTGGGCCCCAGGCGGCAGCTCTGGGCACTGCCCACACCCCGAATAGCCGCCTGGTAGGCTGCCCGGCTGGCACTGGCCACGGCTGCCTCTCTGTCCACAGCAGGGCTGGCCGTCTGGGCCGGGGCTTCCTGGCTAGTGGCCAAGGGCCGAGGCCTCTTGTGTGCCGGTGGACGGGGGTCCTCGCCATCGTCACTCTCTGAGCTGCTGCTGTCCCCCAGTCCCTGCCAGTCCCTCCCAGGCCTGAGCCCGGGGGAGCGCCTGGCAGGGACCCATGAGGCCTCCAGGGGCTGTGAAGCCTGAGGAGGGCGTCCGGCATGGGGGCTGGAGGGAGGAGAGGTCTCCGGGTCAAACAGAGAGTTCCTCGGGAAGGCCCGGGTTGCCTGGGAGTCCTGGGGAGCTGAGGAGCAAGGGACCAGGTCAGACAAGGGGCCAGCCTGACAATGTGCCTGCAACACCCCCTGGGGCACCCCCGTACTGCCCCGCTCACCTTGGCCCTCAGCAACTGTCTGAAGCAGCCTCTCCATAGTGCCAGCCTTCTGCCGTGTCTCCCGGTCCAGGTCCCTGCTGTACAGCTGCACCCACTGTCTCAGGGTCTCCAGGGGGCTGTAGCCCTGAGGGGGTCACACAGGCCCTGAGTGGGCTGGCCCCGGGGGGTTTTGGCTGAGTGGACCGGCAGAGCACCCCCGCCTGCTCACCTTGGCGGTGTGCAGGGTCACAGATGCGCCTCGCTCAATGAGCAGCTCGGCCACCTCAAAGTGGCCACACGTGAGGGCGTCGTGCAGCGGGGTGATGCCCTCGCAGCCTGGGCCACCTGGATCGTCCACCGCAGCCCCGTGGTCCAGCAGGAAGCGGACAATCTCTGGGGGACAGTGGGAGACCTGAGCATCCCCTCCTCATCTCTGCAGGTCCGCCCCCTCCCCTGCTCACTCACCCAAGTGCCCGTGGTTGCAGGCCTCGTGCAGGGGGGTCCAGCCGCAGTAGTCCCGAGGGTTCACAGGGTGGCCCTGCCCGGGGACAACAAAAGCTCGGGTGGGGAGGGCTCTGGGCAGGGTGTAGTGGGGAGGGGGCCCCGGCGGGCCGGACCAGCTTGGGGCGTGGAGGCCAGGAGCCAACCTGCTTCACGAGGTGCTGGACTCGGCGCAGCTGGCCCTCAATGCAGGCCCGGTGCAGCAGGGTCTCACCCATGTCGTTCCTCCGGTTCCACTGTGGGCACAGCAGGTGTGAGAACATGGTAGGGCGGATGGGTGGGCGGAGCCGGGCATGCAGCTGAGGGTGGGGTGGGGTGGGGGCTCCTCCTGACCTTGTTCACCCTCCGCTGGCCCCGGCAGCCCCGCAACTCCTCGTCTTCCTCTGGGTCCTCGTTCTCTGCAGAAGCCAAGGTGTGCCCCCACCAACATCAGAGCCCCCCTCCCCACCAGCTCTCCAACCAGGAGGGCTGTGCTATGGTTGGGGGTGGGGGCGGGGCTAGAGGACCTCCTGTGCCAAGGCTGCAGTCTGAGGGCATGGTCCTCTCTGCTGCTGCCTGACCTTCAAATGGCCCTGCTTCCCCACCGCCTGCCCCATGAAGAGCCCCTGCTGTTCAAAGCCCCCAAAGGGAGGCCAACCCCTCCTCCAGCCACTCCACCGGCCCTTGCTGGCCCCACTCCTCCCTCTGCCCATCTCTGAGCCCTTCTAGAACCTTCTGGTCCAGCCTGGTTCCTCTTACTCTGCCTGCCCTATAAGCCTAGTCCTCTGCCCCATGGGGTGTACCCAACAACTAGCCTGACCCCTGCCACTGAAGCATGAATTCCTCTGGCCTCTGGGACCCCTCACCTGGGGCTCAGGCACATCCTAGCCAGAAAGCAGGTCTCTGGACCTCTGCTCTCCTGCCCCCTCAGCTGCGCAATCAGTTCTGCTTCGTGCCTTCTGCCCCCTGCCCCAGACTCTCACAGGATGCAGCAGACCCCGACCACCCAGGGAGGCCTGGCCCAACCTGGGGGACCCTAAACTGACTACTCTGTGTTCCTGAGGTCCCGCGTGACACACCCTACCTGTTACGCAACGGCCAGCCTTTCCTGGCTCCAGCAGCCCTGTCTCCGGCCCCTGGCCCTGCAGCTGGCTGACACTGCCAATCACCTCTCCAGGTGCTTCCTGGCTGTCCCCTCCACAGATACACAGCACACACACCCCCAGCCCAAGGAGGGCACTGGGAAGCCCTCACCCTCACCGCTCTCGGAGAGCTCCGGGTCACTGGCCTCCAGAGCCTCGCTGCTGTCCTCTTCCTCCTCCTCCTCCTCCTCCCCTGCAGCGCTCAGCTCCTGAAGGCTGGCCTCCGAGCTGGGGGCCTCCTGGGGCCGCAGCCTCAGCTGTACAGTGTGGAGGTGCTGCAGGACCTGCCTCTGAGGGGGGCAGAGGGCAGCTCAGGGCGGGTTGGGCCAGGGAAGGGTGAGAGGGGCCAGAGGGGAGGCATTGCCAGGGTGGGCAGGGCCGTGGCAGGTGGTGGGGCAGGGTTGGTCTGGAAGAGGGGCAGAGAAGGACAGGGGCTGACAGGGTGTAGAGGGACAGCTCAGGGTGGGCAGGAAGGGTCAGGAGGCCTGGGCAAACCCAAGGAGAGACAGGGCAGGCGGCCAGCTCAGCAAAGCTAGGAGGACAGTGGCTCAGAGGAGGGTCACAGGGGGCCACCCCCCACTCCCACCGCCTTGCTGTGAGGGAAGCTGGCTATGGGGACACTGTGGTGTGGGTGGGCCAGTTCTTGAACCTGCAGCTGGGGCCGCTGACCCTGCTGGGCACAGCTGAGCGCCTTCTGGAAGCAGGGGGCCAGCAGCTCATACGCATCCCCAGCCTCCTCTCGGCACAGCGCGATGTTGAACCAGGTCTTGGCATCCTGGAGGGGGTAGGCGGGAAGGGCCTGGGGACCATGCTGCCTGCCACACTGGGTGGCCCCAGCTCCCCACTGCCCCCCTGGGACAGCAAGGGGCACTCCTGCCACTCACCTCCAGTGGGTTCCCACCACGAAGCCTCAGCTCCTCCTCGTAGTGCGACACCGCCCGGCCCGGCTCCTTCATGTCACTCCAGGTGGTGGCGAGGGACACGTGGATGACGGCCAGCTCGGGCCCTGGCCGGCCTAGCAGCTCTGCAAGATGCAGCTGGAGGGCCAGCGCTGCCATGAAGGCCAGGCTGCTGGCCAGTCACACACACCCCTACCCACCCGCCCAGCCTGCACACCTGTTCCTGGTAGGCCTTGGCTGCTCGGGGGAAGTGACCTGCCCTGGAGAACAGGTCCCCCAGCTGCTCACAGATGCCCACAGCGCTCTCAGGGTCGCAGTCCTTGGCCTCCTCTAGCCGCTGCTGCAGCCGGACCACCTTCAGCACTGCAGGCGGGGCATCGGGCCAGAGGCTGAGTGACCACCAAGCCCTCTGGCTCTCCTCGCATCGCCAGGAAGATGGGCAGTCACAGCTGCCCAGCACGGGCCCAGCAATGGGCGCACTGACCCGAGGGGCAGGTCTGAGAACCCAGGGATAAAGCCGTCCACCCAGACAATGGGACTTTGCCAAATGGGCGAAACCCATTAAATGGGGAAGAGCATCTCTTCAACAAACAGCGGCAGCAGAACTGGGTTTCCATTGGCAGAAGGACGAGACACACAGACAGGCAACATTGGACTCCAGATGAACCTCAGAGCCACATGCAAACCCTGGGACCACCAAGTCCACCAGTGAAGACAGAGGCAGACGCCTGGGCCCCAATACACGGCGTAAACACAGTCGCAAACCACAACCACACACACACACACACACACAAACGATGAGAGTACAAGAATGAAGAAAATGCTGTAAAACTGACCGTAGTGTTGCCGGTGTAACTCTTCTTGATGTGACTGACTATTGAATTGTATTACATGTGCCTGATATCCCAATATAACTGATGAAAATACAGAAAGACGAGCAAAAGAAAGAACAGTTGACTGTCTTCGCAACCCACAGGGGCAGTTCCGCTGTCCTGCAGGGTCGCTGCAGGTGCGAATGGACTCACAGCAGGGAGCTGAAACCACTTAAAGAGTAAAGGAGAAGCCCGGGCTGGCGAGGTTTTGGCAATGACATTGCAGCCGAGGGACTACCCTCTAAACTCCGTAGAAATGCCAACACTTCGAGAGATAAAGAATCCAATCTCTAAGATGGGCAGGGGGCACAGACGGTGCACCAAAGGCATCCAGGCGGCCAACACACGTGACGACATGCTCGTGGTGACCACCGGCCGAGAGATGCAGATGCACACAAGGGTGTCAGGCCACTTCACCCGTCTAGCAGCCACGTTTAAAGATGCTGGAGAAGGTACAGAAAGACTGGAGCCCTCAGTCACGGCTGGTGGGCCTGGAGGACGGTGCAGTCACTGTGGAAAGCCGTGTGGCGCTGACTCAAACTGGAGCTAGAAACACCACGGGACAGACCCTGCAGAAGCGCCTGGATGGAGCGTGCCGTGCCACTGCAGCAAAGCCACGCTAGGACAAGATGGAAACCACGGAGAGGCCCACCCCGGGAGGGGGAGAAACTGGTGCGCGTACACAATGGGGCACAACATAGCATCATTGAGTGAAGCAAAACCTCATCATGTATGGAAACCTGGTGGCCATAATGCTGAGGGAAATTAGCCAAGGACAAATAGTGCACAATTATAAAGATCCCAGAAAAGGTGTCTACGTGAAAAGCAGCAGCCTGACAGTTACTGGGAAGCAGAGGGAGGAATGGCTGGGGCTGAGGACTAGGGAGACACTCGACCCATGGAGGCAGAGGCTGAGGCCTAGGGAGATACTGGACCCACGGAGGCAGAGGCTGAGGACTAGGGAGACACTGGACCCACGGAGGCAGAGGCTGAGGACCAGAGACTCTGGCTGCTGGCTGGCCAATAATCACATCCTTCCTGTTTTCCTGTTCCTCGCCCAGCACAGCCCCTTCCTGTTGAGTGCTGCCCAGGCTGAGTTGCGTGGTCACTGCAGCAGATCGTGGAGCCCAGCGGAGGCAGAGCACGAGGGGACTGCTGATGTCAGGAGGGTGGAGGCACGTCTGACATCTGCTTCATGGCCACAGGGAAGCAAAGGGGGTCAAGTGTGCCCACCTCTGTACTGTGTTTGCAGTTATTAGAACACACACACACACACACACACACACACACACACGGATGGCAATGACAGGCCTTGTCCCACAGGAGAACTAGTGAACTTAGCAACTGAGAATAAGACCTGGCTTAGGGTGGAGTTGACAATGTCACCCCGAGAGCCCTGCCAGTCGTGTTCTTGGGGTGCTCAGCCTGTTAGTGCTGGGCCCGTCCCACTACGTGTGGGGAGACAAGACTCACAACTAGCTCATTAACGAGAAAGCTAAGGATTGAATTACACCCCCAAAAGGTCTGTGCCTATGAAGGTGACCCTGTTTGGAAATGGGAGTTCTGAAGTTCTTGTTAGTTACTACAAGGTCACATCCACCATTAGGGTGAGTCCTAATCCTATATGAGGAGACACAGAGACAGGACGGCTGGGTGACGCTACAGTCAAAGGAGGACCTGGAGCTCCCAGAAGCTGGGAAAAGGCCTGGAAGCTTCTCCTTCAAAGGTTCAGGTGTAAAGAGGGCCCACACCCTGGTCTTGGGACTGCCAGCCTCCAGACACAGAAGCCAGGGCATTTCTGTGGGTGAAAGTCCCCACCATGTGCTATTGAGCACACAGCAGCCTCAGGACAACAGCCAACGTTCGAGCAAGCCAACTCCTGCTGGTCTCCCACCACCCCTCCCAACACGCTGCCAGGGGCTCTGAGGAGAGCCGGGGCTCTCCCACTTGTGGCCAGGGGCCCTCGTATTGAAGGTGGGATGTCACCGGAGAGAGGGCTGCCCCAGCTCCCCACACCCTTTCGGAGGATTGCTACTCCGGCCTCACCATATTTGAGGTTACTGCAGACCACCTCTCTCTGCAAAGGCTTCTGGGAGCCCAGCCTGTAGGCCTTCTTCAGGGCTCGCTTGGCAGCCAAGAAGTCCCCTAGGTCTTGGAGGATCTGCAGGGGCACAGGCAGGTGAAGTGAGGCTGCCTCCCGCCCCTGGCCTGCCTGGAGGGAAGGGGGCTGCCTGCACACCTGCGAGATGGCCAAGCAGCACTCGCTCTCCATGAAGGCCCTCTTCAGCACACGAGCACACTCTCGAGCGCCCTCCAGGCAGCGCATGGCCTGCGAGTGCTGGCCCCTCCGCCAGTGGATGGTGCCCAGGTTGTAGCGGGCACGGAAGAGGTCCTCGTAGAGGTGGTTCTGCCTGGGGGGTGGGGCACAGGCTCTCAGGTATGCAGGTCTCTGCTAGCTCCTGCACCAGCAGAGAGCTCTGTGGCCCCTGACTTGAAGTTCTAGGTACTGACTCAGCAGGTGTAGGTGAGCTCAACTAGCCTAGTCCAGGCTTGTCCCTGGCTGCGTGTGCCCCAAAGCACGCAGGGGGCTAGCAGGGGTCTTACTCAGACAGGAAGATGCTCTTCTTGAAGTAGTCACTGCATAGGGCTGCCTGCTGCAGGCTGTCAAAGGTGAGGCCCAGGTTCAGGTAGAGACGAGTCCGCATCTCAATCACCTCTCGATGGGTCACAGAGCCTGCAAGATGCCCAGATGTTTGGCGGCCCCATCCAGGGGTCTCCAGCCTCACCCAAGCCCCTCAGGGCCCTGCTGTCTCCTTGGCCCACCTCCAGGTGGGCACCTACCATCCAGCTTCTCGTCCACAATTGCTAAGCTCTTCTCAAAGGCAGCCTGGGCCTGCAGCAGGGCGTCCTGCGACTGGCTGTGCTCTTGGATGTCCAGGTAGGTGCGGCCAATGGTAGCCCATGCCCTCTGCTGTTCCACATGGCTGGACAGGGAGCGGGCCAGCTCCAGGTATCGGTGCTGGTGCTGCGGCAGGGAGGGGGGGCCACTGCTGTGGGCTGACCCCCACAAAAACAAACCTGACCTTTCCCCGGGGTAGCCCTACAGAGGTGACAAAGGCCAGGACCCATCTCTCCCATCTCTACGCCCAGGGCAGTCTGCGGTGACAGCACACCCCACCTCCCAAAATGTCAACCAGCTAGGGACTACATGGGATAAGGGAAAATCAACATCCAGAAACACCAGGAGCAAGGGTGCCATAGCCCCACCCCCTGCATCGGGTGGCCGTGGGGACAGTGGGTCCCAGGCCTCTGAGCAATACACATGTTCCTGCTGGGGCCCCAGAGGCAGTGTGGAACCCCCCGGCCCCCACCTGACCAGTGACAGGGCTTCCAAGTCACATTTCTGCCTTCTCAAAAAGCGCAGGCCTGCGGACCGGGGTGGATTGAGAGCAGCGCCCTCCCTTCCCTTCACGCGCACCAACCTTCAGGGCACCATCGAAGTCCTCCAGCTCAGCCAGCCGCTCCCCGATCTTGCGGTGGGCTACGGCGCAGCCCAGGGGGTCGTCGGCGCTTTCCCGAAGCTGCAGCTCCAGCCGGTGCTCTTCCAAGGCCTCTGCATAACGGCCTGGGCAGCGGGCGGGCGGGGCTTCAGGCCCAGCCCGCCGGCAGCCCCGCCGTCCTCGCCTCCCTGCACGGCCCGGGGGCGCACTCACCGTGGCACGCCAGGAGCTCCCCGAGCTGGTGGCACAGGGCGGCCTCCTCGCGCACCTGTCCGCTCCGCTGCGCCTTGGCCTTGGCCTTCCTCAGCTCTGCGAACGAGAAGAGCGCGCGTGAGCGGGGCCTGCGCCCCCCGCGGGCGGCCGGGCCGAGCGCCGCTCCCCAGCCCTCGGGCGACCGAGGACTCACGGCGCAGCTCGCGCTCCAAGCTCATCGCGCCGCGGACGACCGCCGCCGCCCCGGGATCCGGACTTCCCGCCCTCCCCGGCCCCGCCCCTAGCCCCGCGCGCAAACGCAGCCCCGCCCCTGACTAGGCGGGATGAGCGGGGTGGTCAGGCCGCAGGGCGTTCTGGGAAGCGTCGTCGGGCCGGGGCCGTAACGCATCCTGGGAGTTGTAGTTCGGCTGGCGAAGGAGCCCGGAAGTGCCAGCTATCCGCAGAGCCCTGAGGCTTGGGTGCTTTAAAAATCGCCCCGGTGGGTGGGGAAGGGAGGGGAAAAAATGAGCCCATACCAAGGGCTCAAGTAAAAAGAAAATGTTTTGAAAATGATGATGGCAACAAATGTACAAAAATTAATAAATAAAAGCCGCCCCCGGGACAGGCACCCCTCTGCTCAGCTTGTGGGCGCCCTATCCCAGAGACTGCCTGGGAGAGACTCGGCTAGCTTGAAGTACTGGTCTGCCCTGCGCAGTGGTCCCCCGCTGAAAGCAGCCTTCTGCCTATCCCTGTTGTTCATCATCCACCCGCACCCAACCCCCAGCTCCCTGGAAATCCTTCCAGCCAGCTCTCTCTCCCACAGCCTGAACCCTCCCAGCTTGAGGTGGGGACTGCCGGCTGCAGCCGGAGCTGCTTGCTGGCCTGGGGGTCCTCAACCCCCCTTCCTTACAGTATTCTATAAGGCCACTGAAATTCAACAATTGAAAAGCAAAACCCTGTACATACACAATTCAGAAAAAGGAACTCAATGTTCTCATATGTTCTCCTGTGGAAGTGGGTGGGCTTGAACTGTGTCCCACCATCATAATCAATGGTTCTCAACCTTCCTCTTCACACCACGATGACGACCCTTTCATACAGTTCCTCATGCGGTGGTGACCCCCAACCATAACATTATTTTTGTTGCTACTTCATCACTGTCATTTTGCTCGTTATGAATTGGGCAATCCCTGTGAAAGGATCATTCGACTCCCAAGGGGTCGAGACCTACAGGTTGACAACCACTGCTCATAATCCAGCCAGCTTTGAGCCCGTTGTTGTAGTCATGGTATCAAGCCCCTCAGCTGAGGGTCTTCCTCTTCTCCGCTGACCCACCAAGCATGATGTCCTGCTCTGGGAGCTGGTATGCCTTGATACACTAAAGCCAAAAGGAGGAGGCCATCAATCTTCACGAGCAGATGCCCTCATGGTTCTCCCTGCCGGGAGAAGGGTTTGAACTGCTGACAGCCCAACATTCACCCCACCGTCCCCCCAGGGCTTCTGGTAGAGTGAGGGGACTCACAATCGACAGTTCTGCTTGGGAGAATGGGCAGCTAGAATGCTCCTCGAGTCGAGAACGGTGGGGCTTCTTCAGCGTGCGTACTTTGACGTGTAATTAGCAGGGACGAGCACTCACTGCCACGGAGTCAATTCCGACTCCGAGTGACTTGGAGGGATATACTCTTTGGGTCTCTGTAGTTGTCGATCTCGGCTTTGTCCTTCGGAGTGCTGGTGGTTAACAGCCTCATACGGGGCTCCAAGAGGAGACCCTCGTCCCTGGGAAACAGCATCGTGCTCCACAGAGGAACAGTGAAAAAGAGGAAGACCCCGGGCGGACAGATGGACACAGTGGCTGCAACAACGGGCCCAAAATTCTGAGGATGGGGCAAGACCAGGCACTGTTTCCTTCTGCTGTACATGGGTCGCTCTGAATGGGAAACCACTTGAACCTAACGACGACGACATACTCTCGGCAAGTGCCGGGCAGTGCTTCACTCGGCTGCACGTGGGGTCACTATGAGCAGGAAGTCACTCGACAGCACCTGACACCACAAGTGATTTATAACAAGATCCACTTGAATGTTTGACACATGGACACGAGTGTCAGACGTGCCCCTTCCACAGAGTCCAGGGCACCAATCGGCAGAGGACAGACAAGACAGTCCTATTTGGTGGCTCAAACGCCCCATGCCATTGAGGTGGGTGGTGACTGATTTCTACAAGTCACCGTGTCCTCGCTCTGCATGCCAGCGGCCTGTGGCAAAGCTTGGAGTCCTGCAGTAGAGCTGCAAACGTGCTTGTAGTCAGAGGGGAGAGGCCGGAGCTGGGGCCTAGGCTCTGACTTCTCACCTGCGGAGCATCTGGTGAGATGTTTGGCTGGGCAGACTGGAGGCCCCAACCAAATGCCCATACTGTCCCACTCCCCTGTACCATGGAGGTCAAACACCCATATTGCCCCCCAACCCCCAGCCCAGACTGGGGAGACCAAATGCTCCAGCAGCTGCCTGGCAACCCTCATTCCTAGTGCCTCCCAGAGCCCAGCTCTGGGCTGTCTGGCACCACATCCAGGCAGAGTGGGCACATCCCACAGAGGCGCTGAGGGCAGGAAGATGTCTCTTCCTCCATAACCCAAGGCCTGAGCCTGGATGGGCCCCATCAGCGTCCAGAGCCGGTCTCCAGGTGCCCTGCCTTTGGGTGGGATGGGCTCTGACCTGCCTGAGTATGGGAGGCAGGCAGTGACCTCGTGCCAACCCAGAACACAGCTCTGATGCCGAGGCAGCCCCTATGAGGGTAATATGGAAGGCATGAAGGCCCAAAGCAGACACGTGGCCAGTGAATGGTCTGAGGGACAGGGCAGCTCCGAGAAACTGTCCCACACCTCAGTTTCCCCACTGGCAGGGAGCGATAGCCAGCTGTCTTGGGGTGAGGGGATGTGCCTGTCCACTGGGCTTCACGAAGCAAACACAAAGGACCAGGTGCAGAACAGCTGTTTCAACGAGCTACATAGACCTCAGAGAACTCAGACCACATTGCCAACACAGGTAAAAAGCCTTGCACTCACTCTTTTAAAAATTCTTTATTTTCTCTGCGATGGCTCCCTGTGGGTGAGCTGCCCAGCGGGGACAGGGGCTGCCCCTGCCCCAGACACGGAAGGGCAGGGGGGAACCAGGCCGGGATATGAGTAGATGAAGGCCGAGAGGGGCGACCTGCACATGCCATCGCTACGAGTCTGTCACATAGGGGCCATGCTGTCAGGAGCTCCGGGTATCTGCCTCAGGGTGCCCAGCTGACTGGCTGAGGGTGGGAACGAAGCTCCCTCTCCTCCCTCTGGACCTGTCCCTGACCTGGCAGTCACCAAGAGCCAGGGACTGTGTCCAGCCTGGCCACACACTCCCACACGCAAGGCTGCTGGCCTCTGAGGCCACTCAGCTCCTTCCACTGCCCCTGTCCCCAGGCAGGTCTCCCTCCTCAGACCCACACAGCTACACGCATTCACCTACAGACCTGTAGCCCCAGTGGGCCACCGTCCCAGCCTGGGAAGGGCCCTTTCACACAGGCATTCCCCGTACACCTGGACAGGAGCACCCTCCAACACCATCACTTCAAAACGCAGGAGCAGGTGCACAGGCACACGCGCACGCACACACACGCACATAAGGCTGCCCAGGCCAGTGTGCCACCCACACGGCCCTGACAGGTGCAACCAGGAGGGCGCTAGGGGTGGTGATGTGAGGGGGCAGGGTCTGCAGCTGCAGCGGTCCAGGGGCCAGTGGCCCAGTATGGGCTTTGCAGACCAGCTCAGAGCTCCAGCTGACCACCCAGCCACCCAGGTACCTGGGAAGAGAGCTTCCCACCCGCCTCTGTCCAGCACATGGAGGGGGGGGGAGGGGGGCAATGCCGGATCCTGGGGGCCTGCTCAGACCTAACTCTGAAGAGGCTACCCCCTCTGTGGTAGGGCCCAGGACAGCATCGGGCAGTTCTTTGGTATCAGCGACACAAAGCTATGGTCAAATAGCCACTTGTCCAAAGCAGTGGGGACTTAATGCCTGCTGGGGCTCCCAGGGGACCCCAGCCAGCTCCTCCACACAGCTACTTCTGCCTTGCACACTCTCCTCCAGCCCAAGGGAACCGGCTGGCTGCCACTCCTCACCTACCATCTGCCTCTACAGAACCCCACCCTGCCATGCCCACCAACCCCCTCTGCAGACCCCTGCCCAGCCAGCTTGCTCTGCAGCTCACTTCATAGCCCAGGGACGCTGGGCTTCGGCGGGGTGGGGGTAGAAAATAGATTCTCTTGCTGAATTGCATAATTTATAGAAGAGCCTGGAAAGTTTAATTCTTTTCCTGGGAAGAGACAGAATTTCACCCTGCATTCCGAAAACTGCTGTGCTGGCTGCCGGCCGGCCAGCCTCCCTGGCTAGGCTGGGCTGGGCCTGCAGTGCGCCCAACTCTCCCGCTGGCCAGGCCCTGGGACAGGGTGGGGCGTATCTCAAGTCTTATCTGGGGGCACTCGGTGCGCAGAGGATAGGCAAGGCAGGCAGGCTCTGGGTGGCACCTTGCATGCTGGCAGGCTCCGAGCTGTCCACTGTGGCCAGGCCTTCCCCTCCCACAAAACAGAAAGTAGGAAGCGAGGGAGCCTTTTTAATTGCAACCAAACACGCTGTTGGAAGCCGGCCAGAGCTGAGCATGGAGCCACAGGCGGCCACCCACACCGCCACCAGGAGTGCAGGCCAGGCCTCACCCCTCCCGCCCTCCGACCTTCCTCTCAAGGCTCGGGCATCCTGTCCTTGGGCCTACGGGCAGGCAGGCAGCGGGCAGGCGGGCATATGTCCCACGTGCATGCAGACTTTCCCCGGTGGGCTTTGGTTCGTGTTTTCCTCCTTTTGCTGAAGTGACTGGTGCCGGGCGAGCAGCTGCGGCGGCCGGCGGGTGAGGTGGCGGCAGGGGTGAGGCTACTTCTGGGTCTGGAACAGGAAGAGCCTCAGGTTGATGTTCTTGGCAGCCAGCAGCTTGTTGCACTCCACCGAGTCCGAGATGGGCAGCGGCACGTAGTCGGTCTCGCTGCTCTCGCTGCCGAAGACAAAGTGGTAGATGACGGGGTTGATTTTCACGTCGTCGTAAGGGCCCTTCAGCAGCAGGAAGGAGCACTCCAGGGGCGCGTTGACCTTGCTCTTGAGGATGAGCTGGAAGGAGAGCGTGCGTTTGCATGACAGGTTGGGGTTGCGCTCTGAGTCATTGACCCGTGCCTTCAGGACCCATGTCTGGTTCAGCACCGTGAACCGGGGCGTCTCGTAGTAGAGGCGTGTGATGAAGTCGTCCGTGCGGTAGGGCCGGAACTGGACTTCTGCGGAGACAGACAGGGCAGGGCGGCAGTCAGAGCGCGCAGGGCAGGCCGGAGGGGCACTTACCGGAGGACACGCAACGTGCTCTACTGCCCAAATGGCAAGCAGGGGACCATGCCTGGGGCAGCACTGCAAACAGAGGTAGGTCCGGGGAACTGCCTGGGTCTGGGGGGCCCCTGGCCACAAGGCTCCATCGCTCCCACCTGGGGCACAGCCCAGGCAGGGTCCGGCTTCTGCCTGAGGGGCAGGGCAAGCAGACACACAGACAGGGTGCAGGTCTGAGAACAAGTGCACTTTATTGGTTCCGATACAGAGCTGCCAGCAAAGCCGGTGGGCGGCGTCCAGCACCCACCCTGCCGGCACTGCACGCCGCCCCTGGGCCAGCCGCTCGCTAGGGCTCCGTAAGGCAACGGGCAGCCCTGCCTTCCGCACAGTCCTGCAGTCTCGCCCGCAGCCTAGGGCCTTGAGTCCATTGGAGGGGCCAGCGCCCAGGTAGCCAGTTCTTCCTGCACACACTCGACGGGGCCTCCAGCCCCGCCACAGTCGTTTAACCGGCCCCCAGGCTGCACTGCACGAGGCCTGGACTGCCTAGACCACGGCACCCACCCAGGGCCGTGGCTCCTGCTGCTGTCCGAGGCCATGTGAGCCCCCGCCCACCTGGGCCCACAGCTAGCGGGCTGGCCCAGGTAGCAGGGTGTGGTCACCCGGGCTCTGAGCAGGCTGCCAGCATGGTGGGCGCTGGAGTTCGGCGTCTCTGTGCCAGCTGGCATTCGCAGGTGCTCCTCTCTCTTCTCAGCTGGCTAGGCCTGGGCACTGTCCCCCAGCACGTCCACAGGTGAGACCCACAGGCCTGCCGGTCCACCAGCCCCGTCATCACGTCCACTTCCTGCTGCGCTTCGGGCCAGTGCCCTCAGTTCCTTCCGGAGCCTCGTCAGTGTGGTGCCAGCCTTGGGGGCCTGGCCCCCAGTGCTCACCCAGCAGGCAGCACCTCGCCTGATGGGCATCTTCTCGCCCTGTGCCCTGGCCGCCTGCACACACACACCCATCTTCTGGTCGGATGCCGCCTGTCCTGAGTCCGAGGTGCCCCCTGCAGCAGGGTGCCTCCTGCTGGGCGGTGGTCCGAGGAGGGCGGTGAGGGCTCCTGAGAGCCACGTGGCTGTACTCTGCAGACCAGCCCACCCTCTGCCGTTTCCAACTGCCTGCCGCCCTCCCCCCACCCCTCGTGGCATGCAGTGGGCAGCAGGGGCTCCTCACCTGTGTAGCCGATCTTCTCGAAGCTGAGCAGGCTGAAGATGCTGCTGAACAGCTGTGTCTCCCTGCGGCGGCCCTGGTCCATCTCATCTAGGATCTCCATCAGCTCACTGCCTGTCTTGGTCGGGTGGGCGCATGCAGCCTCGTGCGCCGTCAGCTCATGGAAGGGGCCATGCCATGGGCAGCCGATGCGCTTGTACTTGCACTGGGTGACCCTGGGGAAGACCGCAGGGTGGGTCACACCGCCATTCCTGCCTGCTGACACAGACGACTCCCCCCACCCCCGAACATGCTCACTGCGTGTGCATGGGTGCCATAGAGGGGCAGGAGGGGCCTTGCCTGGCGACTCCCTAGCTGGCACCAGCAGCAGGCAGTCTGACGGCTCCCTGTCGGGGTGCCCGCCCATCAACGCACCTGTCCTGGCACTCCTCCTTCTGGTGCCTCTCCAGCAGTGAGCGGGGGAACTGGCGCAGGCAGAAGCCACACTCAGAGGGCAGCTCACTCACGGCCTTCTCCACGGCCAGATTCCGGCAACAGAGGCTCTTACTGATCTCGCAGCGGCAGTTGGGGCACGTGGCCTGTTCCTCCTTCAGTCGGGCATCTGCTAGTAGGTGGATAAAACAGCCAGCGCACATCAAGTGACCATTAGTACACTGCGAAGAAGGAGAGGGAGATGCCACTCACAGACCTGGCGGATCAGGCCTGCCGCCCCGCCTCTTCAGCCAGGCCTCGTCCGCTGGCAGCAGAGGAGTGTGAGTTCTCTTCCTGGGGCCCTCCAAGGACAGCTGATTCGGTCCCCCTGGAGAGGCCCCCGTTGTTGGCCAAGGTCGGGATCTTCATGGCGACAGGCCACTCTGGAAGTGGCCGTTTGTCCACACGGAGGCTTGGGGCCTGGCCCTCCCTTTCTCCTGAGAGCCGACTCTGAAGTGCCCGCTGGCAGCACACAGCAGCTCCCTCAGGCGGCGTCAGCATGCTGCCCACCAGGCCCAGTCCAAACTAGGTAGGTGGTCAAGACGGTGGGCCGCCCTGGGAGTGGGCACCCACCTAATTGGATCTTGATCCTGGCTCCCTCACCTGCCAGCTGAGGCCAGGTCTGCCAGGACAAGGGCAGGGGTCAGAGGGTGCCTTGGGGACAGGAGTGAGGGCTGCAGGGCTAGGATAGCCCTGGGCACTGTGGGGACCCCAGAGCCTTCAGGCGTTCTCATTCAAGGCTGCTCGAGCGCCACCTGGTGGCTATCAAGGGAACTCAAGGGGCGGTGGGCCTGTCTTCAAGGGAGTCCCACAGGAGAACCTAGTTCCCTAAAATACCTACGGCAAGCACAGAGGCTGAGGGAGGACAGAACAGGGCCTCCAGAAAGCCACTAGGCAGTAGCTCCCTTTGTGCCAGACCTGCACAGCAAGAGGAGACCTGGCCTGGGCCAAGGTCCCTAGCATCAGTGCCTGGGGACTCTGCAACTGACCCTCATGCCAAGTCAGGTCAGAAGTCAACGCATGCCAGGGAGAAGCGAACAGGCCCAAGAGAGGCCAGCTGGAGGGCAGCCAGGGAAGGACACAGGCTGACCAAGGTGGAAAGTCAGGGCCTGCCTGACAAGAGAAAGGGTGGGAGGTGGCAGCTGGCTGGCCCGTCCAACCAGAAGTCAAGTCAGGGGGAACCACAGGTGTAGGGGGGATGGCGAGTGGTGGGCACACAGCATGAGAACCAATAAGGCTGCCTGCTGCAAAGGTCAGACTGCAGAGGCCCACACCCTGTTACTACCCAGAGCTCTGCAGGCCTCAGGTTCCCCGGCCCCACTCAGCACCCCAGTAGGCCTGCACCAGGGGGCTGGTCGGGGAGGGGGCTGAATTGCTGGGTGCCACAGGGTTGCTATGAGTAGAAGCTGCCTCAGTGGCAGGGAGGGGTCAGGCTGAGGGCTGTCACTACTGCTCACAGTAGAAGATCTGCAGTGGGGGTACAGTGAACCCTCACTAGAATGAGGTCATGTTACTACCACCTCCCAGGGCTGAGGCTCCACAGAGATCCCCTGGATAAGGAGCTGTGTGGTCCAGTCCAGGGTCCTCAAGCAGGACTGGGGTATCTGCCCCTGATGTGACTACTGATGGCTGAAGAACTCAAGGTATGTCCAGCCCAGTGGGAGGCTCCAGGACTACACCCTGCCCCTCAAGTGACCCTTCTCCAACCCAGGCTGCTACAGACCTGGGTTCCTGGCTCCCTCTTCCAGAGCCTGCAACTTCCCCTACAAAGCCCCTTATAAGCTGGCCTCTGGCTGTCTTCTGGGTGGGCCACACTGTAGCAAGCGGGCCACTGGTTCTGGAGGGTTTAGCCTGGCCCCTCCTTGGGCCCCAAAGGAGACACACAAGCTTGGCCCTAGCTGCTTAACAGTCCGGCTTTGTCGAGGTGCTATGCATTGGTGTAGCAGTGTTCAGGGCACCACTGGCTTACCCAGCTGACATCCAACACAGCCAGCCTGCCCACTGAAGGTGTTTAGCCCACTCCCAAGCAAATCAGACTCCATGTGGGGCTCAGTCCCAGGACTGCCACATGGCAGGCTGGGGCCAGACCCATTAAGCCATTTTGCTGGGTGCTGGGTTCAGAGCTGCCACACTGGGTCTTCAGTGGATGGTACTACTCGGCACGCCTTGCCCACTAGGCCCTACCAGGGCCCTCCACCCTGCAGAGCTTCCTTGGCATCCAGCCCAGTCACACCTTTTGCAGATTCCTGTCTGTGGGTGCTGACCATGGGCTGTGCTTGCAGCATGGAGAGGGGATAGGGGAGTGTATATCACCAGGCACAATCACCCCCTGGCCATTTGCTCTCACCGCAGGGTCGGTGTGTGATTTCAGAAGCCACTCCCTGCCACCACCACCCCACCACCTCAAGCCAGCTTCATCAAGTAAAGCCTGCAGGCCTGGTTGGCGAGGCATTCCCTGACCCGAAGGGCACCAGCCCACTGGGCAGTGGGGGCAGTGACGGGAGTCAGGGCTGCACTCCTGTACCCTGGGGCCTGTGCGCAACCTCCCTGAGCTAACAGGACACTGGGTGGATCAAGAAGACTGAGAGGGGCAGCCCTGATCCCCAGGCCTTGAAAATTAGGACTTCCCAGCTCATGGGGTGCCTGAAATCAGCAGGCCTAAGACACATCAGGCCTAGGAGTACATCACCCCCTGCAAACATTGGGTGCCCCTACTACCATTTTTTCCACCAGAAATGTGACCTCAAGAACGACTGGGCAGGGGTCCACTCCTGCACCAAGGCACTGCTTAGCTGGGGAGGAAGGCACTCTGGGAACAAAGGCCAAGCTTGCGGCAGGGGTGGCCTATTGGGCCTGAGAGCAGGAGGGCAGACAAGAGGCTCTGAAGGGGTGGGAGACAGTTCCAGGGTCAAATGAGCAGGAAGGGTCAGGGGCCAGGGCCCAGGAACCACGCCCTACAGAGGGAAAGGGTTCCCTCAGTCCCAGACTGTGCCCAGAGCCCAGGCTGCCCACCTAGAACTCCAAGAGGGGCTGGGCCCTGGCAAGGCCAGTCACCTGAGGCATACCATCTCCCATGTGAGGACACAAAGTTAGCATTCCCACTGCCCTTGCCCACCCATGCACATCCTACAGGGAGGCCCTGGCAGCATGGAGGGGAAGCTGGAGGGTACCTCTTGGGTTACAATATACCAGGCTCAGCACCCTGGCTCCAGATGGCCACTTGTTCCCCCCTCCCAACCCTGGCCCCAGTCCCCGGCCATCCAGGCAGCTCCCAGGCCACACATGTGGGTGCAGTGGGAGCTGCTCACCGGACAGCTGCCAGCCAAAGGCCTCAGCCAGGGGACCAGCCAGCACTGGAGAACCCACAAGGTCTGCGGAGACTGCGTGGCCCATGCCACCTGAGATTTAATACCTGCCCCTTTTCCCATCAGTAAAACTCAGGCAAGAGCAACCACCATGAAGTCCAGCCCTCTTTCCCAGCCCAATTCCCCTGTGTAGTCTCGCCCACAGCCCTGGCAGCCTGGCCTCATCCCAGGGCCCCAAGAGCCAGGACTGTTGCACCCATCACATGTGGTCCTAGACACATACGGAGACGTACGCACGGAAGATACACACTCCTGCACCAAGGCACAGGCGTCACCTGGAGAGTGGGGTACAGGCTCATCCTGGCTAGCTGCCAGGAGGCGGAGCCCAGCCCTGGAGACTGTGCACAACCCCCTACCCATCCCCCCCACCTACCTCGGCACCTGCCCCCCCACGGTCTGGAAGGTGATTTACTCTCAGCAGTAGCCAAGAGCCTGGCTGGTCTGAACCAACAGCCCAGCCACCACTGGGGGAAGAAGATACCAAGAGCTAGCACATGTGGCTATGTCCCTCCCCGTGGGGCCCAGTTCCAGTCCATCCAGGGGCAGAAAGGTGAACCCTAAGTTCTCCTGAAGCCCCATTGAGGCTCAGCTCCCTGGGCTCTCACTGAAGGCTCCCAGAAAGGTTCCCTCACCTGGGGCAGGTGCAAGATTGAGGAAGAAGGGCTGCAGGTGAGCAAGTCCTGAGGGGCCCATGGCTGGTGAAGCTGATGCTCTGAACATCAGAGGCTGTCAGCAAGGCACCCCTGGCTGCCTTGGGCCAGGAATTCCTTGGCAGACCTCTTGCCAGGCACTTCCTGGGCCATGAGGGTGAGCCCCGGGCTAGTCCCCTCTGCAAACATCTGCTTCCACTGCCCTTCCAACCTTTCCTCACACTAGGGTCTTCCAGGTGGCAGTCTGCACCAGCCCCAATTGAGGGGCCACTTGGCAGCCCCCCAGTCCCCACTTGCACTGAGGCAGGAGTCAATTGCCCAGCCACTCCCAGCTCCCACACATGCAAAGGGAGTCAATGGAAAACGATTCTGTTCCTCTGCTGGGCTGAGAGGTGGGGTGGGGGCAGAGGGTCAGAGGTGAGGGCCGAGGAGAGACAAAGGAGAGGGTCAAACCCCTCTCAGCCCAGGCTGGGGGAGCACTCCTGGGGGCTGGTCTGCCTCTTGACTATTTGGGGAGGGACGGCCAGAAATGGGCCAGTACCCTGGCTGGGTGTGTGTGTACATCTCATGAGGTCCATAGTAGGTCCAGAAGCATAGTGGTGGTAGAGAGGCACCCCGATTGTGGGGGTCGAAGCACAAATGGATCCCACAGACAGTGCGGGGAGAGCCAGGGAAGACAAGGCCTGCCTTTCTCTTTGCTCCTTGGAAGGCACTGTGAAGGAGAGGGGTGCAGGCAGGGCGGAGGTAGGCTTGGGGGTGTGGCCGCCAAATGAGGCTAAGGTAGAGGGTAGCTGGGAACCTAGGGGTAAGGGAGGGGGCGGAGGCATCTGTCACCAGGCTCGGCTGGGGTCCATCGGAAGGGGGTGCTGCCGAGGGAGGGCAGTTGGGGATGTGGAGACAAGGGGTTCCGACTCCGATCCCGCGATGTGCCCCGCAGACACCCCACCTCCCCCGCCGCTGGGAAAACCGGGTTCCGATCAGGGAAGGTTGGGGGAAGAAGGGGCGCTTCGCCTGGCGCCGCCGGGTCCCACGGGCGCATGCCGACATGGGACAGGAGCGGGCTTCCTG